TAAAAATCAGTTTAGGAGAACTCTTAAAAGCTCTCACAAGCTACAAAAACTATTTTCAAGAATGTCCTGAGGAGCCCAGAAAGTTGATACAAGGATAAAGTTGTGAAGCTTCTGGTCAAGCATGAAGCTTAGGAAGTAGCTGAGATTTTATGAAGACCTTCTGGACAGCGGGATAGCAGGAGAGACTAAGTTTATAGCAACTCCCCCTGGTAAGTAACTTTCTGCTATTTCTATTCCAATAGTGAATAAATGACATATGGTTTAGAGGAAAAAATATTCATCCTAAAACTCATCTTAGTCTGATATATTCTGGGACTCAGAACATGAACTGATTAAGATCATCATTGAGTATTGACACTGTAAAACAATTCAGAAGTCTACTATCAAGAGGAATTGTATTCAAAAAAGGAGTTGCTTTACAATCAATCCAATTTCCAAGCTTATGTCTATAGGAAGACAAAAGTATCTGTAATTCATATTGAATATACATTTATCAATTGCTATAATACATGTTTATTAGCATTGGTTCTTCTTGAAATTCAAGAAATATTAAATAACTAAAATTATACTTGAGGTCAAGAACTGACCTGAAGGAAATAAAACAGTTAAGGGAAGAGACATAGAACTTCTTGCACTCCTGAGAGAAGATAAAACCAGATTTCCCTAAGTACATGATGCAGGAGAGCAGCTGTAACCCATGCTGACCAGGCAGAGTAGGCACTTTCCTAAGTAAACACAAGTCTACTTAATTTTCTTTGAGCTCTGTCTTTGTTTAATGTTGGCAGAGCCAATTTATCTTTTTATGTAAATGTTAAAAAGTGCACAAGGCTATTTTGAGGGATTTTTAAAGATGATGTATAAGTAAAGGGAGGAATCACCAGAGTTCTGGTGTTGTCACAAAACTCAAAGTTACAAGCAATTTTCTTTAGTTCTACCCAGCATAGTGGCCAGGGAAGACAGGAATGCAGGGGCTGGAGGCTGCAGGGAAGATGCTGGCTCAGAGTTATTGGAATGGCTCCTAGACTGGGCCCTTTTTACAGTGGGATCTCTGGAGGGGCCAAGGGACGTGGTCCAGGTGCTTCGGAGCAGTTCTGTCTCTGACCCAGCATGGGAGATATCAGTAAGGAATTTAGAGTCACTGTGAGTTCCCAGGGAATGGAGGAATTACATTTGTTTGTTACTTTTCTCTTGGAAGTTTTATAAAATCTTTGAATTTCATATTTTATTTTACTCTAGAAGTGATCAATGAGAAAAAAAGAGATCTCTTATACTTGCCACTTGGTCACAGACTTAAATGTTTGCTTTTGGCTCCAGGATGAATAACACCAAATGTCAAAACACTTCACTGTTGATACTACTCAAGAATTACAAAAATACATTTTTTTCTTTTTAAAATTCAGTGCAAGCAATTTGATTTTCTTTGCCAGCTTTACATAGATAAGGGAAGCCATCCCCCAAAGATTATTCTAGCTCATTGGGTCTACTGAAGTGGAAGTTTTGAGAGATTTTTATAAAGTTGATAAAACATTAGAAATCAAATATCTATCAATCTATGTATGTATATATGTATGCATCTATCTATCTATCTATCTGTCTGTCTGTCTATCCAACTGTATCACTTTCCTTAGTGGTTGAGATTATATGAAGAAATTATCTTTTAAATTCCAAACCACTATCTAGCCCTCTTTTTACAAATGGATCCATTGCAAGATGTAGCAGTTAAATTAAATGATGGTTACACTGGCAAAATTATAAGATCTCTGGGAAATTATTTTAAGAAATACATGGAAGGATGTAATTTGGATTCTGAATTATGACTTCTGGGCCTATGATGGTCTATGTACCCATCTATCAGCAAGTAAATTCTGATTCAACAGTTATTACTGTATTAAAGGGATTACAATTCTTGCTAAGTTTAGACAAATTGTAAAATACATAAAGAAAAAATTCTTATTGATGCAACTGTTATTTTGTTATATGTCCACTATTTATTGTATGTATGTAGATTTTATTTTTGTTTTACTATATTAGGAATATAATAGACAATAATAGAAATGGTTCTTTTTTTTCTTTACACTATCTCATGGACATTCTTCACAAATGTCTATATATTATTCACTAACTGAACATGATTTGAAACTTCTCATTCTTAGTTGACTTGCACACTGAGGATAATGAGGTATATCATAAGGGAATGTCATAAGGATTAATTGAAATTAAATATGTAAGTTAACTTTCTCAATAGCTGGCAGTTGGTAGATGATTCAATTCAAATGTATATAAATTCAGGAATATTGATAAATTTAGTAATCACCACCTAATAAACAACTCACATATGAATATGTGATTAGTATCTGCAACATGCTTTTTAATTTCTAATACTAATAGTACTTGCTTCCAAAAGTGATTAGGATTTAACAGGCATAACCTTGGATATTATTTGGCTAAATGCAAAATGATCATCCGTTTCTGAGTAGTTGTCTATTAAATAAAAAAAGAGGATTTTTTTCATACCTTGGTTATATAAACTTATGGGCACGTAGATAATATGGCTACATTTCTATCTATAATGCTTAATTTTAATTGATTTATACCCACACAGTTAATTGTATCAAAACAAATATCAACTTAGCTACACTATTTTTTCTTAAATTTCATTTAAAATTTTTAATAATTTTTATTGATCAAATGAATGATATAAAATTCTTTAAAATATAACAAATATAACCATTAAAACATAGATTAAATAGAAAATTCTTCAAAAGATACAGTAAGCTAGCACTGACAATAGGATATGCTGAAACTATATTAATTTGACACTATTCAATTTGTACTTCAAAGTAAACAAGGATTATAGTCATCATATAATGATATAAAAGATAGTTCTTTTACAAAAACTAATAGTTCTTAATACATATGCCACTAACCTATGATTTTCTCCTCAGTTTTTCTTTTTACTTTATGTAGTTAGGTGTTTAGTGAAATTTCGTTAAAAATTTTCTCAGCATCTTTCTGTGTTCCTTTGGTTGAGCGCTCATTTGGAATACTCACATGATAGCAAGACAATGTTTAGCCCCCAAGCCAATTATCCACTTACAAAATGAAAGAAAATTATTTTTTCATTCATTATCATCATCTTTATGTATTAAGTATAAACTATATAGATTTTAATCCCAAGTAATAATACCAAACACATGTTAGATTCCTTTGCTTTCTTATATCAGTACTATCTCCAAAAGCAGTATAAACTAAGATCATTTTAGGTTGATTTTGTGCCCAGCTTATATTTTTGAGTCAGAGTACCAGAAGAATATCTTTGCACCTGAGAGGCTACACACACAATGTACCACACAGCAATCCTTATTATTGAGAAAGATAATTTAGGCACACAAAGACTCATCTTATATTCCAACACTATCTGTTTAAATTCAGCAGGTCTGAGGTTCTATCACAGAGCCAACATCTGCAGACATACCTTCCATCCCTTGTGGAAGTTCTTACCTTATCTGGGTGAGAACTCACAGCACAATAAGAACTCTAGGTAGGAAGAGAAAAACGCTAGAATGCACAAACTTGGGGTCACGTATTTAAACTGCCTAGCTCAGAATCAAATGAGAAAGCCTCAGGTGCAGCTCACAAGTACAGACAGACCATCAAGAAAAAGTCAAAGCTGTATGGAAAGAAGAAATAAATCAGGGATTGTTTAACACGAAACAGTGCCATTTCATGCTCAAAGGTGGAATAAATGTTCAGAGGAGTACATACTTGTTATCGACTGATAAGACACACACCAGATTTTCAATTCTGATGTTTTTGCATTATAATATTAGACCAGGACTTTGACATATGATTCCTCTGGGAGGACATTGTTAAGCGTAGAGTGAAAAGTGCCTTCAGCATTCATTTTGGAGGATGCAGGAAGCAATCCTTACATAAGCCATTGCACATCACCGGAGCATTAGAGCAATGTCACACACAGATGGAGACTTCAACACATAGATAGAGCCAGGCAGATAGCACTTAGTCATCTAAGTGACACTGAGGACCAAGCCTCTGTAGTCACCCTTTTTGGAAAGGCCAGGCTGGGAGTTGCAAACTGAGTTTTGCATGTGCAGACTCCAGTCAGATGCAGGCAAACTGAGGAGAGATGAACATGTTTCCCACTCTAGCTACCACGGCTGGAATCACAAGACCAAAATGTGGAACATCTATGGGGAAGGGAAAGGCTCTGTCCCATGAGAGTAAATTTTTATTAAAACACAATTCATCGTGGCTAAATCCTGGGAGCAGCCTGTATGTCCATCAACAGATGAATAGAGAAAGAAAACTTGGTATTTCCACACCATGGAGCACTCTGATGTCATAAAGAAATAAACACTTGAATCATATATAGGAAAAAGGTTACACCTTGAGATCCTAATGAGATCCTTTCCATACAGCTTCCAAACCAGACCCACAAGCTGAAATATCACTTGGGTTTTTTTAGATGAAAAATCTAAGATATAAACAGAAAGCAAAATAAAAGACAGATAATAGAAAGTAGAGAGATGGAGGAGGAATGAGAGAGGATGAAAGCGTAAATAAAATGTGTTCTGTACATGCAGCAACTCCACAGAAGCTACTGTAACCATTAGGTACTGCAAACATGTGTTGACTGAATAAATAATGTAATTTTGGAGTGCAAACAGCAAACAAGTTGATAATATCAGTGATGACAATAATTTCCTCTTGTGTTTTTCCAGTATTTTTAATCAAATTGCACCATGGTTTGTTTTACTGCCACTGCAGGGAGGTAGCCATGCTGAGTTATTTATGTTGACATTGCTGTTTTAAGATAAACAGAGCACCAGGAACTTCAGTTATTCAATTTCTCAGCTATATGACTTGCTGTGGCCAAAATAAAGCAGGATCAGAAACCTGGGCTCTACAGAATTCCAAGCCACATGCAGCCAATAGAATCTGAAGAACTCAGTGACACGAAACTAGTGTAAGGTTTTTGATATGGGTCCCATCACTGTGTGTATTATGTGAAAAACTTCGGCAGAGGAACAAAACTTGTTGTCACAGGTATGTATCAGAGTAACCCAGCTTTTATAAGATAACAGAAGGTGAGAGATGATCTTACTGGAAATATAAGATGGTTAGAAAAAGGAGACTATGAAAGGAATTCAGTGTAAAAATCTTAGGAGAGATTGTAGTAGAAATTATTATGTAAAGAAATGCATGTACAGTGGCTTTCTGTATGTGTAAACTTCTGTTAAGTGCTCCCATCATATATGTAGTGATATTGTTAAAGTGTTGACTCTGAAACACAGTTCATTATTAAGGGTAAATCTATGATTGACTCAGTGGAGCAGATTGATCCATTTCCTCATGGCCAAGTTTGTTGTGGGAAAGTCTGAATGTGGCAGTTGTTAGGAAGACCTAGAGTTTAAGCTCCATAATTAACACGTTAGTGAGTATAGATGATTATTGGTTGGCTTCAATTTCCTAATCTACAAAATGAGTTAAAATCGCAGCAAGATTATATGAGAATTAAATGTGATAATGTAAAAAAAAGTTCTTCGTAAATTTTCCAATACATGTTCCTGTTAAAAAGTTAAAAAGGAATATATCATCCAGTCCAGAGATGAGTTTTCAGCAAAACAGAGGAGAAGTTCTCCATAGGATTGAGTTGTGCTTCTAACTGCTGAAATGTAAAGTATCTTACTATCTGCCCACAAAATAGGAGTCTGGAGATATTTATATCCCTTTAGATATTTCATTACTTGGCAACAAACGAAAGTACAATATGTTTTTCAAAACTGTTATGGCTCTATATGATGTAAATCTTCATCTTTTATGAAAGAGAAACAGGCTAGAATGCACAAACTTGGGATCACGTATTTAAACTGCCCAGCTCAGAATCAATTGAGAAAGCCTCAGGTACAGCTCACAAGTACAGACAGACCATAAGAAAAGGTCACCAGTATTCATTGGCCCCAAGATTTTCAGTCTGTAAAATTAGGTTTCTCCCCATTTAGACCAGAGAAGAATTTCATATAGAAAATATGAATTTCTATAAATTCATATAGAAGATAATCAATAAATATAACTCAACTAAATATGGCAGGAAATTTGTCATATATCTGAAATGCATGTTTAAATGTTATGTAACAATTTTATGAAAGAAGAGAGAAGACTTGAATAAGTCATGTATAGATTTGCAATATAATACATTCAAAAGACTGTGCCTGTGATACTTGATAAATATATATATATATATATATATATATACACACACACACACACAATTCATATTGCTGCATCTTAAAATACAAACTTAGGTAATTTAACTCCAAATACATTGTTTTACTAGGAAGATAGATAGACAGACTGACAGATAGACAGATAGGTAGACAGATGAAATAGGCAGATTTATTTGTTATTCAAATAAATAAGATATGCGATAACCATTCAACTCAATATTCAAAAAATGGATAATCTACACATAGTAAAAAAAGTTTTGATGGTGGGAAATTCCTAAATATGTACATTTAAAATCATTCTAAGAAGATCATGGGGTATAAGAAGTAGGAATGCAGAGTGTAGATACTAACCATAAGGCAAGTATGTTGTTTAATGCTTAGCTCACTATTGCACTGAGAAAGTTATGAAAGTTAAAGATTCATTTTATCCTCTTTATAAGAAAGAGATAACAAGAGGCATGAAGGCTGTGCTACTGTAAAGAACTTTTCCCAGTTCATCATTTGATTTTTAATTTCTTTGTGATGATGAATTTGAAGCTCTCTTATGAAGAAACACAAGCATCTAAGATGAAAATTAGACTTAATATGTTGACTTAGAGTATAATTACATGAATAGAATGCACAACTGAAATTTTAATTTTATCTGCTATGACACACTACAATAAAGTACATGGTTGGAAAAATATACGTTGCCTTACAAATTAACTGAAAGCAAGATGTATGAAGCCAAGATAAATATAACACCAAATATTTTCACTACATGCTCAGAAATACTTACATTATTTGCTTGCTGATTGTGTATATTTATGAGTTGTTAGACTAACTTGAAAGTAGCCTAAAGAGGGTATTGGCTATTGAGTCTTGATGGGAAATGAAACTAGGAAGTTCTGTAAAATATTGGATTAAAAATGAATGTGCAATCCACTAACATTTCAGATACTTATTATGTGGCTTTGTGAACATACGAAGCTTTGTTACATATTTTGACATTGTGTCTGCTAATAACTCCAGAACCATGACTTTCAACCTTGCACCAGTTACTCATAGGCTTTATTCAGTATGCATGATAAAGAGAATAGTGTAACTCTAAAACAAGTCATTATCACTGTAGGCAAAAATACTAAGTTTGGGGAGAGAGATATTGGATGCACAGCTATGTATAGTCCTGTTCCTTAATGGGGTCAAATCGTATTAATCAAAGGGTGAAAAATATACCTGTGGCATATAGCTAATATCACTTGAATTTTGAAAGAATTTCCAAAGTGAAATATGTGTTTAGTGAACAGTAAGTAAGGAAAATGAAATTTGGGTAAGTTCCTTAACTGGTAAGACTAACACAGTAGCATTTTTAAAAACAATTCGTAAAGCTTTTTTTTTAGAACTTTTGAAAATGTTGCTATTTTGCCTCTAAATTTAAAATGCTGTGATATATTAGGAAGTACAGCTAACTCCAGTTCCCAGAGGAGTTAGTTGGGAAAATTTTATGTGCAACAAGAATTTAATGGGGAGAACCCCAGAAATGTCTAGGTAAGCATGGGCTTCATATTTGAGGCAAGACCAGTTTGTTAGACCATAGGTATCTGTGGAATGGGAGTCTCATTAAAAGAAATGATAGCATCACTACAAAAATTAAAATTAAAATCTTCTCTTGGTATTTATACCCATGAAAAAGAGACGGGGTGCATTCAGGGTGCATCCCAGAATCAGGCACATGAAAAGTGGGTTGCACAAGATAGCAGAACATAAGAATGACAGTTACTTGGCCAGAACAAGCGGCAAATGTTAGGAAAGAGATGCCTTTTGGAAGGCACCACAGATCCTCATCTCTAGGGATAGCATCCCAGTGAGTAGCCTCCTCCTCTTGCACTGACACCCAGAATGGAAACATTCTCCATTTCAAGGAAACAAAAGAGACACAAAAAAGTGAATGAGCTCATAAATATCAGATACCTTGTTTACGAATAATTAAAAATCCTACCCCACGAGAACACATAGAAAAAGGACAAAGGTCAACTTCAGTCCCAGGCTCTGCCACCTAATAGCTACATTTTGCCAGCTTCTTAATTGCTTCAACCTCTTTGCACATCAATGAGGTAAAAAAAAAAGTCAGTGTCTTGCATCCTGTGATGGTGAAAAGCCACTGTGCACGCTCATTCAAAGCCAGCTCAGCTTCCCATCACTGTGAGCCTGGTGCCTGTGTTTCTCTAATAATGTGCTTGTGTTTCTCTAATAATTCTCAAAGTGCTTGTGTTTCTCTAATAATTCTCTTTACTGATGCTCCATTTTCTCCCACAGATAAAATGTTCAACATAGACGTTTCTCCCAAGCCCACTATGTTTCTTCCTTCAATCGCAGAAACAAATTTCCACCAGGCTGGGACATACCTTTGTCTACTGGAGAATTTTTTCCCTGAAGATATTAAGGTATATTGGAAAGAAAAAGATAGCAATGTGATTCTCAAGTCCCAGCAGGGAGATACCATGAAAACTAAAGACACCTACATGAAGTTTAGCTGGCTAACAGTGGCAGGAAGTTCGAGGGCTAAAGAGTACAAGTGTGTCGTCAAACATGAGAAAAACAGTGGAGGAGTTGAAAATGAGATTCTCTTTCCTTCAGTGAATCAAGGTATGTATATATAAATGTCATCTTCCAGAATAAGTATTTGAAAGTAAATCTTAATCTTTTTTACGAACTATTAATGAAGAAAAACACATCTTTTTAAAATCTCACTAAATTTAGTGGTAACACAAATGCCCTGTTATTTTCCATAGTATGAAAATTATAGAGGCTTTGAGAAAACAAACAAAAAAATTTACTTAAGCTTTCTCAGCCTCTGTTTCTACATCTGAAATATTAAAATATATGCCATGTTAAGCATTATATATGGATTCAACCACGCAACACATATGAAAGCGCCTGATAACAGGCTAAGTGTTCCATTTTGAACACTTTCCTTGATTTAGAAATAAGAGCAATATTATGCCATTCAGAAATGTCCACCAAAGGCACCCACTTAAATGGTGCCATGCACAAAGTTTTATTTATGAAGAAGAAAGTTTTATTTATGAAGAATGGATTCTTACATAACAAAATGGTGCTCACTAGAAAAAGCCAGGTCTCAGTTCAATAAAGCAGTATGATCATGGCCACTGTAGTTTTATGCTTGACCTGAGTTGTTTTGATTTTTATTTCATGTATCACTCGAGACATAATTTCATAATTTAAGCTTGGCAGGGGCTAATATATACAAGCTTACTTCTATTCGCCATCATGAATGTCTTACACACCATCACCAAATGTAACTGCGTAACATTTTTGCGTTACTAGTTTATGTCAGGCCTGAATGACAAGGTGGATAACAATAGTCAAGGGAGTTAGTGTCCCAGATAGATTCACTGCAGTGAAGAGAGAATGCTCTTTCCCCAGTTACTCAAGGTCACGCACTAAATTGACCTTGGGTCAATATCAAAACCAATGCATTCAATGCAGTGAGGCACAGGTCCACATTGCCCGGCCAAGGCTTAAAGATGTGTAGCTTGCCAGTGGTCCTGTCACTCACTGTGCATCACAGTTCAGAAGCAACAGCTGAAAACCTTGAAGTGGCCATGGGAAGGGATCCTCTTGGTCTTTCCTCTGTGGTTAATAAGCCCTTTGGCACCACTGGGAAATATTCACATGATAAAACCATGAAGATCTTTGTCACTAGCCATCCACATTTGTCTGTGAGTTTCCATTCTCTAGGAACTCAGGTTTCTACAGTGACCAGTGAGGTCTCCATGCTGCCCATCTTTCCACGGGGCAATGAGGAAGAACAAATGAAATGGTATCAAGAAAACATTAGCCTTTCAAAATATAACTTCCATGCATTTATTTAGAAATGCATTGTATTTTTACATCTTTTCTAAAACAAACTTAAATACAAGTACAAAAATAGCTCTGATATTCTATTTCATTGCTAAGAAAGAGAGAGGAGGAAGATAATGCAGAATCCCATGTTAATGTAACCCCTAGTGTTTAAGTGTCCAATTAGGTTCTGATTTTTTGTAGCTATCAGGGAAAACTAAAATGCATATTAAATTCTGTGGTAATGAATACTATGAGGGAGAGAGAGTGGTTCTAGTTTAATAAGGTTTTATTTGGAATCATTTACATAAACTAATGTGTTTTATGAATTTCTCATAGCAACATTGTTAAGGAAGGCATTCTATCAATGTCATTCTACAGTAGTTTTCTAGTGCTGCTTCTTAGTTTTATTTTAAATAAAAACTAAAAAGTAACACATAAAACACAAATAAATGAAGAGACTTTAAAGAGATGCAAAGCTAATGTATCATTGATATCTTCCCATGGGTCAATATAATTTATGAAATATCTATGGAATTACAGAGAGATGATTTGTTTTGGAATTATAGGGCTCATGTTTTTAATGTCAATTTCTCCTCCTGTCAGCAGATTACACAAATCTATATATGCACATGCAAAATATATGCATATGTACACATGTTGTTCTGGTAAATAACAGGCTTGAGTAACTGATTACTATTTGCTCTCATTTCTCTTAGTTGTCGATTCTATTAATCTTAGAGGAGCTGGATTGAAAGACAAAAACGGTAATTTTGCGTGCATGTCTGTCTTTTCTGCACCTTTTTTCACTTTCCTTGACCATTTTAACTTTTTACCTTCCCTACAAATTCCTTTACCTTATCATAGTATATTACTGATCCTGGTATGAGATGCTTGTTAACTAGAGAATACAACAACGTACTCTCAATTAGTTCAAGAAAGAGACTACATTCAGTTGTGTGTCTGTTGTTTCTCCTGACTGGAGAAAACATGATATCCAGTTATTTGAGTTTTGTTTTTTGATCTTAGATAAATACAACACTCACTTTGTTTTATTCAGAGAACTGTAGATGTAGACTTCATCTATCTATCTATTCCCACAAGGAATTTCACTGAAGTGTTCAGCTTCTGTAATAAAGAAGAAATCCATTTGCTAAGAATGATGAAAATACTAGATTTTTCATCGTGTCCACAATGGTAGAAATGTGTTCTCATTAATTATTTTCTTTAGCTTTCCATGCATTAGCTTTACAAAGTACTCTCTACATGTCTTCGGTGATGGTGAACTTCCTAGAGAAAAAATGCCCGAACTGCAGCTCAAAAACCTACTTATTTTTCACAAAGTGCCAAACACTGCAATTAAGCCTGAATAATGAGGGTTTGGTTAAGAAAAAAACCAGCTCATTCATTAGCATCTTCTGTCTAAATAAAGAAAAAAGTGTATGCCATAGATTCACCAACACTGTATCTTTTATTAACAAGATCCTTTGCATACTGGCCCTGCCTTTCTTGATATGAGTTCCCTGTACTCTTTAAGTTATTTCTTAATTAGTGAAATGGAACTGTGCATGATACAAATCACTTAAGTGTTACTGGAGATTTAAACAAGATGATGCAGGGGAAGTATTTAGCCCAGTGCCTGGTCCAGAAATGATTACTGAATCGCTGTTACCTTGTATTAATGTTGATGTCTTCATGTTCACAAGCACATGGTCTTCAGAAAGTCCTGTGAATGCCTCAGAGGTAGTGGGGATATGCATGATTTAAAAGATAGGCTACTTTCCTCTGCTTAGGTGGGAAATTTCTCTAAGTCAGACTCCTTTAAAAGCACCCAACACTGCAGTCAGTTCTAGCACTGGACAGACTCACTTTAGACAGCATGGAAGAAAAGAACGCTAAAGTCTACAAAGCTTCCAATGTGCTGTTTATTCTTCAGTGTATGGCGTATTTATGGACCAATTATATTTGTCTCTGTGGGGTCCATATTTTTAATCACTGTCCCAGGCTGGAGCTGGAGCTCAGTAGTACAGAGGCCTCACCTAGCACTCAAGGAGGCTTGGGTTCCATCCCCAGAACTGCAAAAAATATTTTGTTAATTAGAAAAAAAAATGAAACACTCTTTTGTCTGTGTGCCAAGACTCTATCCATCTAACTATTCATACATATTTATTTATGCACACACATTCATATACACCCTTTCAAATAACAGGCACAAATAACTGACTACTACTTGGTCTCATTTCTTGTAGTTGCTCCCACTATTAATCTGAGAGAAGCCAGTCTGGAAGATGGAAGTGGTAAGTTTCATGTATGTCTGCCTGGATCTCATGATAGTCTATTTTTATATTAACCCCTTATCATTTTATTTGCCCTTTTCTGTTTTAGCTAAAAAATCCAGCATGACTACATGTTATGGGATACACTATGAATGATAGTTTAAATTAATTCATCATTTCCTAACTGTCAAGGTAGATAAAGAGAATTCTCCCCTCAAATTTTATTCAAAGAAATAGAAAACCAAGCTTATCTCTCTTTTATCGAAAGAATTGTGCTAAAACAATCAGTTTCTGGATTTATTTATTTATTTGTCTATTTATTTATTTTTTATCAGTACCAGGGATCGAACTCACGGTTGCCTGCTTGCAAGGCAGGCGCTTATGCCGCTGAGCTAAACCCCCAGCCCAAAGTCTATGGATTTTTAATAAAATGCCACTTACTGAGAATGATTAAGATACTAGAAGATTTTTTGGTAAAGTGTTTCAATTTAGTTCCTCATTCATAACGTGGAGCTGATTAGGGTACAACTGACTTAGGCATTATTGGGGAAGTAAAAAATAATATCTGAGTGAAACACACACAGTGCCTGGCCCAGAAGTGATCAATTAGCATGTATTAGTGCTTATGGACATTAACTCTATTTATGGAGTTATCTCTATTGTGCCTCCATCAAAATAATTACACACACGATGCCAAACAACAGATAAGAATAACTGTCAAATATTTGCTCTCCTATCTTCTAGTTGTCAATTGCACTGAAGCAGGAATGTCCTTGAAAGATGTAAATGGTAAGTTTTACTCTCTAATTACCTTCATATCATGCTTCAGCTTTTTTTCCCTTAAAAATCTCAATTGAAGATGCCTTGGCTTAATATTAAATTAGTAAAATCAGTGAGATGAGACTTTGCAAAATAGTATCACATGGTCCATTAATGCTTCGCTTCCATATTCACATGGTAAACTAGTGACTTAAGTAGGATGTGACTGCACTTAGAGGACCCAGTGACATCCTTTAAACCATCTGAACAAAGGACTTCATTCATTCATTCACACGTTTACTATTTCTAACGAATAAGGAAAGCATAATAGCCAGAGAAACCTAGACATTTTTGAAGTCACTAGTGAGGTGAACTGGCACCGAGTACTGTGTGTACGGAAGGCCATGGGCTGTGAGTGCCTGGGTTTCCTGGCTGACCCTCCCAATGCTCCTGTCTCTGCAAAATCATTTTCACCCCATTTCACAGGTGAGGAAAGTGAGGGAAAACACACTGCCACATCTGGAGTTTCATTTTAGGCCCTAAAACGAAGAGTTCATATCCTTGCTCATCCCATGCTCTTCCTCTCCTGTGATGGAGTCACAGGGCAAAACACTCCAAAGCCAAGAGCCCAGGCCAGGAAGGAGATGTGGCAGGGTGGGAAGTGTGTGCCTTCTGAGTCGCTACTTGGTACAGCACAGTACTCTTAGCTATCAGTGGTGAGAACATGGGAAACAAATGTCATTTGCAAGTAACAAATAACTTGTTCATTGACCAACCTAGAAGAATTACACCAGACTCAGTTACTGGAGAGATCAGGGCTCAGATGACAAATGTCCAACATAGCGATCCATTTAGCAGATCAATACTAGTTTCCGGCCCTTCCTCCCTTCATGTGTACCATGATTCAAATACTGGCTGCCCCTTCTGAGCTTTCCTCTGTTTCTAATGTTCATGAGGCTCCCGACTTCAGCTGTTACTCTAGGCAATGAGGCAGGAGATAACCCTTTCTTGACCAAGGGTAGAGAGTTAGGAACAGACTCATAGAGATTCCTTTCTACTCAAGAGCTAGTGATTCAGGAGTTCCAATTCTGAAGATGGACCATGCAAAAATGATAATTTTTCCAGGGAAAGAATTGGCCTTGGGATTAATTATACAAGCGCCGTGACCCATTGTCATTATCTGTAACCATGATTGGTCCTCATATATTTCTCATAGAACTATGAAGGATCTTGGACTGTAATTACCCAAAAACATATTAGCACAAATAAGAGATGCTTACCAAAGACACAGCAGTGGTCACAGCCACTGTACATCTCAGAGACTCTGGATTAACCACTTTCTCACATTTTCTATATTGTTCCTTTTTTCCAAAATCTCCCACCCAGCTCATTGTGTACAACAATGTTTTACCCTGGATTGTCCTGTTTCTCTACATCTCATAGCATGTGCCGTATATAATCACTCAAATGCTTCTAAGTTAATAGTTCATCTTTATAGTTATGCTTTTTGTTACATTTGAGATGCAGAACAGATAACGTGTTTTTCAATGTCATATTCTGAGGTAAAAATCTGGGGCTGTCACTTAGTAATAGATGATATCAAAAATATTCTTACTGTGCAAAATGATTTGATTGTAAAATATAAATGAAAACTCTTCCCCTCTTTCTTCCTCCTCCTTCCTTTCCTTTTGCTCTTATAGATTTTTATAAACATTACATAAGATTTACTTTCAAAACTGTCAAAGTGCTGGTTGGTATTTGCTCAATGGTTCATAAATATTATCTTTAAGTATTAGAAAAATGTTTGGAATGAAAAAATTCTCCAAGTTATCACACATACTTTTCCTCATTGGACTCACTTATTAACTATGGATCTATTTAATATTAAGAAGGTTCTAGGTAACCCTGTAGAGGTTGTTAATCAAGTTGAGTTTCAAGCTGAATCTTGCCCATGGTGGTCCTGATGGGAGTGGTAGATGCTGACCTTTGGGTATGGGTGTGAGGGGTGGTGTTCCTTCAGTGCAGGACATCAGAAATGAACACCTGTGACACCTCCCCAGGATGTGTCCTGTGCTGTCACATGTAGAGCTGAAACTCATGACCTGATTTCTTCTAGATTTGTTGCAACAACAGTTCACCAGCACCTCTGCCTATTACACGTACCTCCTGCTGCTGCTCAAGAGTGCGCTCCACGGGGTCCTAGTCACCTTCTGTCTGTGCAGAAGGTCAGCTGTCTGCTGTGATGGGAAGAGCACCTGACAGATGGAGGCACAAGGGGCCATGGTGTCTCCACCGTTTCTCTTTTCTGTCCCCAGCAGCATCTGCTGTGGGTATGCCAAGCTTGCTGGAACTTCTAAAGGCCACATGCACATTAGTCTGTCATAGCACAAGGATTTCCCAAAAAGTGGGCAAACTCCATGACTTCCCTCTGTCACAACAAGGTTTAACTGTGGGGCCCCTGAGCCCCATCCCTCCACAGCCCCCACACCCCCTCTAGCCAGTCCACATCCTCAGCCTTGGTGGGCACAGCTCACTGCTTCTAGTCAGGGTCTCACTGCTGTGGGCTGGGTCACCCCTGGAAACCTCCATTCAGTCCACCCTGACAGGGTCTTCTTTGCTGTTGAACTATACTATTTTAATATTAATAATACAATAAAAAGCATACCAAAAGTCTTCCTTGGGCCATTTGTATCTCAATTTGTTGGAGTTTAATTGAAAGTCAAAGTGAGAAATTGCATAACTGATCCATGACACTGAGAGCTCAAGGTTAATGAGGCTTCAACACCACATCATATGTCTGTCCCTGAGATGATGCTCATGAGCCCTTTCTTGGGGCACTGACTCCAACAGAGGACACAATGAGCCGAAGATTCCCATTGTCACTGGTCTTTTCCAAGTCATTAGATTTAGGTCCAAGGTCTGAATGGTCAAAGGTAATAGAGAACTTCAAGGATGACTCAAACTGTGTGTGCTCACAGAGTCCTTTGTGTTGAATCTCACAATGTCTCCACAGGACAGGCGCAACCCCATGGAGGCAGCATGACAGAAGGGTGGAGCACATGGACTCTGGACCCAGAGAGGGCTTCAATCCCGTGTCTGGAATTTACTATGGGTAGTACCTTACTGTCAGATACTTGAACTCTTCATACCATAACTTTCTTATATAAAATGAAGTTAGGATGCCGTGTCTGCTGGGGTTGTGTGGAGCAGACAAGGTGCTGATGCTTGACACATGGAGGACACAGGCAAGTCCTCTGAAGCATTGGTGTGTACTTGATGCTACTGTAGAAATAAATAACGGACCCCACAATCACATAGGTTTTAAACTCCAGGTTTGAACTCCATTCTGACCTCTGTGTGGAGAGGATAGATGGGATGGGTTAGGGATAGAGCTTCAACTCTACTGTGCAATCCACAGTCCTCTGAGGATCCTTCTAGATAGATACAATGATGGTCTGGTTTGTTGATTGAAAGAATTAGCCTAACTTCTAAGGATCCATATATATATATATATATATATATATATATATATATATATATATGAGCTGGTAAAGAGAATGACCTCACTACCTGCTCATATTTCCTCTCTTGGCTCCTGTGCTCTTCTTCAATTATGGAGATTTAGGCCAACCTGTTGCCTAGTGTTTCCTGCTGGGAAGACTTTTCCTCACTGAACTCCCACCCCTCAGTGGGATTTCTATGACTCCTGTCCACAGCAGGCTGGTAGATGAAATAAACACCAGACCAGCAGGTGGTGTGTCTAGGTGTCCTAAGGAAGAATGTGTAAATATTTATCCAGTTCCACAGGAAGACACTCATATCTCAAAATTTATTCGTTCATTCATTCTGGATTTCACTATGCAATTCAGGCTGGCCTCAAACTCACAGTGATCCTCCTGCCTCAGCCTTTCAAGTGATGGGATTATAGGCATGTGCCATCATGGCTGGTTTCAGTAGTTATTGTACAGCTAGAGGGTGCCATGTCCTTCTCAGCTGTGAGAAAAAAATGCTATTAGAGAAAATCCTTAGTTCTTAATTACTAAAAAAGGATAAGTGGGATCTTCTGAGTAACAATTCTCATAATTTTCCCCATTATGCATTTATATCATCTTTTGGGATTCTTTCCATAGCAGGCTTCACTTTCTAAGGATTTTTTTATTGTCAAGTGGGATATAATTCGTAATAACTAATTTACCTAATTATATTCATCAAGGTCCTATATAATTACTTACTGACAATTACGAGTATTAAGATAAAACCCGAGGGGAAAAAAGATGTTATTATTTACCCAAGAGTCTAGAAATTCAACGTTTTCATGAGCTATAAAAGTTCATGGCAATGAAGTCCTGGTTTCCATCAGTTGTCAGGCTGTTTATTTGTTTGCCTTTTGTTTTGTTTGAATAGCAAATACCTACCACTTATGAGCACTGGGGCTTCTGTAGAGCAGGTTGAGTCCTTTCTGATGCTCTCTTTCTTTGCACAGTGCAGGTGTGTTCACACCATCAGGTCACAGGAGCACCATGTGAGTCACTGAGTAAGCCAAAACATTAAACACGCCCAGGGCTGAACACAGAGTTAGCCATGGTGTTCAACCCATGAATACACCTAGTGACAAGTAGCCAGTCAGCCACACTGTTAATACGTCCAGTGTTAAACACAAAATATCCCACAGTCCACGTGGCTCAAATTCTAACTTCATACCTGCTGTTCAATGTATTCGACCAGTGGTTCTTCCTCTCCTCCTGGGAGCTATCAAGACCTACAATGTCTCCAATGTTTTGGTTTTGTCGGTTTTGTTCTTTACTGTTTTGTTCAATTGTATTATAACTAATGATATAGGCAATTCTATTAGAGATAGCGGGAGGCATTATGGTAACCATTGTTGATCACCTTGTATTATGTTTTTACATTATCTATTATGTCCACCCTTTTGACTTGACCGATTCTGTCCTGTTATGTCTCATTTGGTTTTACTCTCTTCCAAAAAAGCAATAAGAACCGTGGGAGCAATGAAACCCAAAATGTGTAATAGTAATTGTACAAAAGAGAGGAAAAGAAAGTGCTCTAAACTATATAACTGCATGTATATTTAAGTGTATAAGATAGAAAATGATATCACAGAGTTTTATTGGATCATTGAACAGAACTGTTTGCAGTATCATTGTTGGAATGTCCACTCTACAAGCTTTAATCTTGTGACTTGAACAATTATTTTTAAGATGGCAATATGTAATCCATTAACTAGTGATTTCCTACTGTTCATTTTTTCTTCTGTAAATCTGTATAACTTGTACCCTTTCACTTTTTTTTTCTTTTCTCCTAAAAAAAAAAAAAAAAGAAGAGTCACTGGACACAGCTTTTCACAGACAAACTTTAGAAACTCAAAAGAAAACCCTTTGTTAGCTCTCGTGCACATTCAGACTGGAGGTCAACCAGTAACTGAAGTAGAGCCTGACCTCCCGCACGGCTATCTCAAAAGGCAAGTCAGCAGGAGCCATTACAGACAGAGCACACTGTCCAGGCATGGGGCATGCTCTACCCGGACAGAGCTCTCGGCATCCGAATCATCAGCTCACTCAGAAACAAAATGTAGGTGCTGAAATGCACATGCAAATATGTTCATTCACTACAACACAATGTCAAATTGCCCCGAAATATTCCAAATACCTAATAGCAAATTAATAAAATAAAGGATCTCACAAGATAAATGCAACATGCAAAAATGTGAATTCTTAAATAAAATGGGAAATGGTACTGAAATATAATATACATGGGAGAATGTATTTAAATTATTAGATAACAAATCACATGGTTGAAAAATCAAAACACTAATTTTGTCAGAAATGGTTTTGCATACACATATATATGCATGTTTGTATAATCTGAGAGCTCTTTTAATGTCAATGTATGGGAACATTTACAAAGCCACATAATATTTCACTGGTAAATAGAAAATGTTATATTTCATTAGCTCCCTCCAAAAGATCTCTGGTGTATTTTCTTGAGTTCTCTGCTATAACAACGCTGCAATAAACACAGACTTTTCTGTCATGATGGATGTATGGATTGGTGACATTGATAGCATTGTTATTACGGCTCCACCCACAAAGAACCCCTCCGAGCTCTCCTGCCATCGTGTGTGAATGATGGGGAGTCAGCTGTCAAAGCTCAGGATTACGCCAACTTGACAAGTGAAAACAAGGATTTCTTTGTGGCTTTCATTTCCTTTTCTCTTATGACTGCAGATAAACATATTTTCATACCTTTAAGTTCTGTTCAAATTTCCTTACATTTGTTCATGTCCACGGACTATTTTTCTTAGTAAGTAATAATCTAATGAGTATGGCACTTATTTCCTCTGTGTCTCTGCATCTGTGCAAAAGAAAGCTGAAATAGAAATGGTAAAGTAGACCTTTATGAAAGAGGGATTTGTAGACATAGTCTGCTGCTCTAAACGTTTCACATCACAGTGTGACATCCCTGTTCTCCGTTCAGATGAGTGCGATGTACAGAAATGAGGGATAAACACCACATCCATCTGTGAGGACTGTGCAGAGATTGGTCCCACGAGGCCCAGCTCAGTCTCATTTCTACAAGGGAAAGGAAGAGCCAAGAAAGGCTGACAGACTAAGCAGAGCATTCCCAGGCCTGCTTTCTCACTGTATCCCTCTCAACTTGTTCTTTGCAATAAAACCCAGAACACGGTGAAACACACACTTAAGGCAAAGGCCTCCACGTCTCTTTTAGAGCTAACTTTGAATGACCTTTCCTCCTTTCCACCTGTACAACTAGTCTCGTTCTGGGGGAGCAGTGGGAAGTATGAACCTTAACCTTGATAACAAAGACATAAAACAAAAAGTTTACTGTGCAGCGAGTGAAAAACTTAATATATATATATATTTTTTTTTCCTTAGTAAATGCTTTGTTGAAATTTTCATACACTAAAATTAAAACAATGTCTTAGTGAACAGTAGGAAGGGCTTTTGTTTTTGTTTTTGTCAGTAGTCAACAACTAAATGCTTCAGTTTCTGAGAAAGACCTTTTTTTAGAAGTCAAGGAGAGGTTGCCATTTCGAAACAAAATAAGATCAACCAGGTTGAAGAAACTTCAAATGTATTACAGATCTGTTCCTTGGTTCTCGTGAACTGATCAGACTCCGTAGACCAACTCCTGCCCTCTGGGGAAAGGGGAGCTGTTTCTGCACTGCAGATGCACAGCACCAAATGAGAAAGGGTCACATCACCCAGAGTTTTGTGCACCTGATGTCAGAGGTCAGACCGAGGTAGGGTCCCCTGGGACTCCCGACCTCTCAGCACCTTCCTTCCTCATCCACCTGGGCCACCCACTGAAATTCAGCAGCCCAGAGCACAGACCTGGGGAAGCACAGACACAGCGGGTGACAAGCAGTGCTGGTGTGGTTGGTGGGGCTTCGCTTTCCCAGGCTTGTTCTGTTTCCGTGCTCTGTCAAATGCGGTTGATTCTTGGAAGAGGCTCAAACTCAAACCGGCCCCTACTGGTTGGGGCAGTGCAATGAGGGCTGAAGGTGTTGAAGGGAAACCGAGGACAGTTAAACCACAGCCAACCTGGCTAGCTTTCAAAAGGTCATACACAGCTAATGAATGCAATCACACATGTACGACTACTATCAGCCTTCCTTCCCACGCTGTGGGTGG